CTGCTTGAGAATTAAGATTATTTAAAACCAAAGCAAATAAAGTATAAGACCAATGAAATTAAAATCCAACAGAATTATTAAACAGTAAATTAATTTATCATTAAAATTGTTATGCAGCCAGGGAAAGACAAGATAAGAAATAAGGTAGTTTTATTGTTATATGTGGAAATTATAAATTGTAAGTTACACCTGAGAAAATGAAGAACAGAAGAGAATCCATGTTTATCTGTGCAATGATTACTGGACAGTTATATAACTATATCTAACAAACACTTATTATGTTTTAAAAGTAAAATGTCAAGTTCTTGGCTGGAATATGGTTTTTTAATGTTGGCTCACAGATAAATGTGAGAGATGCTAGATCATTCTGACCCAATAAAAACCTGTTAATGATCCATTGTGTTTAGATGGACATAACAGGAAGACATGGCCATGAGAAAGAGGTAATTTCCCTGAGATAATGGTCTGGGAGGAATTACAATGGAAACTAAAGCCCCTAAAAATCACTGAACAAGCATAACAGGAAGAATTATGTAATCCTCTGAATATGATATTCTATAAAAGCAGTAACCATTTTAAGGGTGGTGTCTTCATCTCCTGCTTGTTAGGGAGATGGGGTCCTATTCTTATATTTGCAAATATTTTTGAATAAACTGAAGCTTTTAATGTTTTTTTTGGTTGTCAAGTCTGGTTTTTATGGTGAATCTCACATATTAAGACACAATGGCTGAAGAGAAGAGACAAGATTCCCTAAAGAGAAGGGGAAGAAGACTTTTGCCTGGGATGGAATGAATATGGAAGTCTAACTCTGTGTGAACATGCCCTCTTTTTCTCTGTGAGTTGTTCTCTAAAGTAAGGGATAGAAATAGATCTTGAGAGATCATCATTCAGTGCAATGAAGGCTGTGCCACAATGTTTTATGTTGTCCCCAGCTACATGGGTTTCAAGGGCATTCAGATGATTCCCAGTTGCAGCACTCTGTATGATTTTTTCTAGTTTATTAGGTGTTAGGGGACAGCATAAGCAGAGGTGGTATTCAGCAGGTTCTGACCAGTACTGGAGAACCGGTAGTAGAAATTTTCAGTCATTCAGAGAACCAGCAAATATCACGTCTGACTGGCCCCGCCACATCTATTCTCTGCCTCTCAAGTCCAGCTGATTGGCTGGGTCTTCTTTTGTTGCCCTGCATAGGAGAATGGAGTGGAAAGCAGGTTAATGGGGTGGGGAGGGAATGGGAATTTTGCAGTAAATTTCCCCAGGAGTGGAGAGGGAATGGAGATTTTACAGCATCCTTCCCCTGGCATGCCCACCAAGCCTTGCCATTCCCACCAAGCCATGTCCACAGAAGTGCTAGTAAAAAAAATTGAATCCCACTACTGATCGTAAGTCCTTGCGAGATCTCAGAATTCCATGACCTCAGTGTTGAGTCATCATTTTCCCCTTTCTGCATATGTTCCAAAAGGAATCACCCCACTGCAAAAAGTATCTGTAAAGTTCAACACCCTCTATGATCTAGGAAAGAAAGAAGAAAACAGCCTGAGACTAGATTTGTCTCTTATCCACATAGATCTCTGGTCTCCAAAAAGGAAGCTTTCAGCATTGTGCCACGTGAATGGGAAAATAATATATGGATGAAAATGGCAGGAGGGCATCCCTGAGGCTTCTCTATCCAGAGTTAACTATGGGGCTGCAAATAGAGACCATCCTCTCCAGAAGCTGCCTAGAGGACAACTATCTTTGCCACATCCGATAAAAGGGAAAGGGTTGGAAGTTAGTATTCTGATCCCTTTATGTGTGGGTGACCATGTATAGGTCAGTGTCAGGAGAGTTCATGATGACATTCCTTATTGGGACAACCCAGAAGAATCTAAATTTGGAAAGAGGAGGAGATCCTCATAGATGAGGAGGTAATTAGGAAAATATTAGAATGTGCAGAGATGAAGAGATTAACACTAGCAGTTAAGGAGAAAGAGCAAATAGAGTACCATATGATATGGAAAACATTTTATCAATGGTTAGAGAATAAAAAAGGACTTTGGAAATGAAGAATAGAACAGAAAAGAAAATAAGATAAGATAGAGATATACTTAAGGTGATAATTGTTGTTATAACTATGAGGAGAATAATGAGATGTAAAGTTAATAAGGTATTATCACCAGAGTAGTAGTAAATATTTAGCTGTTTGATGTATTTTAACTCTAAGTTTAGAGAAATAATATTAATGTGAAAGTGAATGTATTTTTGAAACTGAAAAATAAAATGACACACCGCTTGAAGAAAAAACGGAATGTTTGTATTTTTAAAACTGAAAAATAACAAAAAATACTATTAAAAAAAAAAGAACCCCAGCATACAGATGGGCATGGAAGGGACAACTGAGACTGAGCTTGCAATAAGTCTCTATGAAGGAGGATCTCTATGAATATAAGGATATACACCCATTTATGCTTGTATGAGTTTTTATGTTGTTGCATTTAGATTTAATAAACAAACAAACAAACATTAAATGACCAAAACCTATTAATCAATCCCAGTAAAGGACATTTTTGAACAATAATAAATTTGTAAAAGTCATTTTTTAATTTTATTTTGACATCAAATGTTCTTTGGTATTCAGATCTGGCCTAAAAATAATAATGTAGCACTTGGGGCTGAAGATGCAGACCAGCAATCCAGCACTGGACACCAAGATGGAGAAGATCTGAACTGCCACCATGTACTTCCCTTTGGTGCTCAAGTAGGAAGGCACAAAGGACACCCAGACACTGCAGAAGACTAGCATGCTGAAGGAGATCAGCTTGGCTTCATTGAAAGTTCCAGGGAGCTTCCTGGCCAGGAAAGCCACCGTGAAGCAGACAGCAGACAGGAAGCCCATGTATCCAAGGGCAACATAAAACATGGTGACAGAACCTTCATTGCATTGTAAAATGATTTCTCTAAGTTGGGAGTGCATGTCAGAGTCAGGAAATGGGGGGAATGTTCCCAACCAGATGCTGCAGATGACAGCTTGGAGACCAGAGCAACAAAAGATGATAGAGTTGGCCAAGCTCTTCCCCAACCATCTCTGCACTTTATTCCCTGGTTTTGTGGCCAAGAAGGCTAACACCACTGTGATCGTTTTGGCCAAGATTGAAGAAATGGCAATTGAGTAGACAATGCTGAAGGTTGTTTGTTGGAGGAGGCAGGTCAACTTCCTTGGGCGGCCAATGAAGAAGAAGGAGGTCAAGATGGAAAGCAGGAGGGAGACCAGGAGGATATAGGAGAGGTCCCGGTTGTTGGCTTTGACAATTGGTGTTTCCATGAACTTAATGAAAATCCCCAAGCCAAAGCCTATGATTAAAGAGAGGAACAAGGCAATGGAAGTCAGGATGATCCCCAGACTTTCCTTATAAGAAAGGTAACTTTTAATCTTGGGGATACAATGAACTCGATTGATGTTTGGATGTTGATCATCTGGACATTTGGTACATTTGTCGGCACCTGAAAAAAAAGCAAGAGTGGGATCTCAATTTAACAGGTCCTTTATTCAAATGCATCATTTGGGTAAACTTGTTTTTCTTGTGAATAGATATAAAGATCTGTAAAGATTAAATCAATGTATTTTTTCATTTCCCTCCATCTAGAACATCTTAATATTACTTTTCTTTTCACAATTGCATCAATGAACTTGTTGAGAGAGAAGGGAGGGAGGAAGGATTCAAGGAAGGAAGGCAGTTCCACCATTTTACCTGGCCACTGCTGAATATCTTGGAAATTGGAACCCTGCCTTTTATCAATGCTTTAAGGCACCAAAACTACAATGGAATGAAGTTCATGTGAAGGATTACTTAATGTAGATTATGCCAGCTGAAGTGGATAAGTGCTACTTTTGCCATCAAGAAAGAAATGTTATGTGGAGTTGAAATAGATGAAATAGATATGAAGACATCAAAATGCATTCCTCTAACAACCCTATACTTCACCTGAGGGAATGATTATTCAGAAAATATCAAGTTGTGCAGAAATGGATAAATTAACTGTAGCACTAAAAAATAAAGAAGTATCAGAGTACTATATGAGTTGAAACTGTTGGTATGAATGGATTGATCGAAGATAGACCATATAACAATAATAATAATAATAATAATAATCTATGAATGAGGAGTGTTAACAGTAGTAATTAGATATTCGCACTAAAGATTAATTGCAAATATGGCATAAAATAAATGAGATAAATAAGGAACCACAAACTGTTGAAGATGTAATCATTTTTAATCATTTAGCCCTTTTCCCTTTTTTTCTTCTTTCCTTCCCAATCTGTTTGTGTGTTGTTTGTGTATTTTAATTGTAAAATTCAATAAAGTTTATTTTTTAAAAAATGCATTCCTCTGTTTTATATAAGGAGAAAGAGTGTCATCTTCCCTAAAGTCAGGGAGGAAGATTGGCTCAGTCCCAACTCATTAGTCCTCTCCTCTCCTCCCTTCTCCTCCCTTCTCCTCCCCCTCCTCTATCACCTCTCCTTCCTCTCCATCATGGTCCAGGATTCAAAGATTTTTTAAAAAGAGCCTTCAGCAGAACCTGTGGAATGTCAGCCTCAAGAGATACAAACAGGAGTCCCCTGAGGCTGACACAAAAGAGGCAGGGATGGGCTTCAAAAATTTCAGCAATAGGTGGGTGTGGCCATGGTGAGCATGGCCTGGTCAGCCCCCTGCACCATGGTGGGAAGGGGGGTTGCTCTCCCTAGGCTCCAGAGGCTTTCCTTGAGCCTCCAGAGGGTGAAAATGGCTTCCCCCAGGCCCTCTGGAGGCCAAAAAACCAAACCAAAACACAAAAAAACAGGCCCATTTCTGGCCTTCCAGAACCTCCAGAAGGCTCATTTTTCACCTTCCCCAGGTTCCAGAGGCCCTCCAGAGGCCAAAAATGGGCCGTTTTCTGGCCTTGCAGAACTTTTTCACCCTCCCCGAGCCTCCATATGGGCCTTGAAGTTACCTATCATCCAAAATGGGTTGCATGGAGACTCCTGGGAGGAGAGGGGTGAGGTGGGAGAGGAGGGGCCATCCAGGAGTGGGATTTGGCAATTCACCAAAATGTGCAGAGCCTTAGCTAGAGGATCACCCAAACTCTGGTAAACCCCTAGCATCCCACCCCTGAAAAGAGGGAACACATGAACAGGTGGAATAGTCAAAGGATTATTATATAAGGCATCCCAGCCTCTCCTGCCCTCAAAGTAGAATGAGGAGTGCAACCAAGATACACTAGGAGACTCCTTTGCCAAAGAATAAATCCTTTGATTCAAGGCAAGTGGTTGCAATCTGGCTACCAAAAACACCCATCAGACATGGGTGCTTGCAAGAATCTGATCAATCATCCTATAAAGATCCAATCAAAGTTTGACTATTATTTCTAGAACTGTCACAATGACATAAATAGTAATTTGAAACATTGAAGATGTGTTGTAAAAGATAAAGAGCAAGAGATGTCATCTCTCTCACAAGGCTCAACTCAGTCTCATCCTGTACCAATGAACTGTATCCCTCTTTGCTTATCCTATATACCAGATTACCCTCCAAAATCATTTCTTATATTGCACTATGACAAACATACATATCTTTATCAAGTCTCAAAGAGGTGGGACCCACTCTGACCCATTTTTTCTCCTGCTGTCACTCACCTTCCATAGTGGAGATGGATCCTTCTGCACAAGGATGACAATTGTAGCAGCAGATGGGCTTTCCTTCCTGAGCCACCTTCATGAATCCAGGAGGACAGCTTTCCATGCAGTTGGAAGAGGGCAGGGGCTGGGCAGAGAGAAGGGAAGAAATAGCATCCATAACATGAATTATTTTATCTGCTAAAGGAGATAAAATGAAAAGTTTGGACATTTCCAGTTCAAGGTTTTGCTAAATTTGAAGCCTCCAAGAATCTGAGAGCTGACCAAACTTGCTTGCTGTTTGCCTACTTCTCTTCTCTTCTAATTCTTCTCCCACTACAATTTTATTTTAAGTTCTCAATGTATTGAAAAGAAAGTTGAATGGCAAAAATCATTCTTTTTTGTCCCATGATTTAAATCTAGCTCCCTTATAGAAGACTGATGCACAGTTAACTGAAATAGTTAAGGATATTTTTTTTCATGGACTCCTGAACAACCAACCAAAAATTAAGTTTCCCATTTGGGATAATGGAGGTGACATCCCAAGCCTGTCCCTTCCCCATCTCTTCAATAGTCTTGGAAAGAACTTCAGAAAGAGCAGAATAAAGTCCTTTCCCACCTTGTTCAGCATTTCCATCTTTGGAATAGCATTCTGGTTCATCATGAACTTGAAATCTAAGGATCCCACTCTTTCTAGCCTCCCAACTGTCACTTTGCTAAAAGACATATTGGAGAAAACCACCGTGTTCACAATGTCCAGTTCAGCTACCAGCTCTCCATTCTCATCCAAATATACCCCATGGATGGAATTATTATACAACTGAGAGGTTCGAAGGAAAGAATGAAGCTGGAATGGAACAGAAAATGGACAATGTTACATAGATGCAGAAAGCCCTCTGGCAAGACTCATCCAATTCAGCTGGAATAAAGGATCTGTATTGAGGAATATAGAATAAAATTCTTGTTAGAAGGACCAAGAATGACCTAGAAAATAAGGAAAGCGAAAGATATTCTTTATCTTTTCCAATCATAGTTGTCACTGCAGAGTCTGGAAAACCAAAGGGAAGTATAATCCAGTGTGAACTAATGAGCACCAATGTCAGCATTCCAACTAACCAACTCCATAACAATAAACTCCGAGACAATCAGTTCCTCAAAGTTCCATTTTGATAGAGTTGTCATATTGGCATATCTGGGAAAACCCGAATCTGAGAATTCCAGGTTTTCCCTTTCCAACAGAGAATTCAAAGATCAATCTTCTGCACCCAGGGGTGGGATTCTACCAGTTCAGACCACTTCTATAGAACCGGTTGTTACAATTCTGTGCAGTTCGGAGAACCAGCAAATCACACCACTGGCTGGCCCTTCCCCTCCCCACCCACCCCACCTAGGAGGCTTCCCTGAGGCCCAGTCAAGGGTGGTATTCAGGGGGTTGGGGGAGGGAGAAGTGGCCTGAGAGCAGAGCTGAACCTTCCTTAGGATTGAAGATTCTATTTTTCAGTGCAGACTCAGGCAGCAGATTGAAGAAAGGTAGATCTGGGAATGAAGTTGTGATTCTGCAAGCAGCTCAATCTACCTGCCTGCTTTGCCTGATTTTGGATAAAAGTTGTTCTTTTTAAAAAAATAAAAAATTCAATCTTTACATATATATTTGCAATATTTATATACAAGCCATGCTCAGCCAGTCACATGACCACCAAGCCACACCCACAAATTAGGCCATGCCCACAGAACCAATTGTTAAGAAATTTGAATCCCACCCCTGCCTGCACCCATCAGTCCATCACATGGTCCAACCAATTCTTTGTTCCAACTGGAGACATTCCTCCAGATACCCTCCCCAAGTGCAGGGAAACATGTCCTTGACTCTCTGAGAAAGAATGTTGTTATGTCTAATTTTCTACCCACTATGAAATCCCCCTCCCAAATTCCCAGGCACTGAATGTGGCAGCCTCAAAGCTTCCAAGTAAAATATTGCTTCCAAGGCTGACAACCAAAGTTAAAACACAAAAGGAAGTGGATGTTGTTAGGGATAACATTGTTTACCCTAACTGGTTTGGGTAAAAATAATAAATATGGTATCATGGTTTGTTAGTTAAAGTGTGTGTAACTTTAACAGCAAGAATGTAATTAAGGGTGTGGTTGTGAAAGCACTATATAAGAAGTGAGGCATTTGCAGCTCTCTCTCTCTCTGGCCTACTGATCCCTAATTA